CAAGATCCTCCTGAGGCGTCTGCTCGGAGAGAAAATGACACAGCTAACGACCTCCCACCTCGTGGAAGCTCTGGCTTGCCACCTCCTCCCCATCCCATGGATCCGCCTCGCGAGGTTCAGGTGATCCCCCCTCGGGACCCACCACTCGCCGATCCACCACTCCCTGCTCCTCGAATGGTTCAAATAACCGAGGAGGCCCTTCAACACTAGAAAGGGTTATCGACTCCCTGGGGGCTCACATCTGCCCCCAAAACATTTCGCTCGCCAAGGGTTATCGACTCCCTGGGGACTCGCATCTGCCCCCAAAACATTTCGCTCGCCAAGGGTTATCGACTCCCTGGGGGCTTACATCTGCCCCCAAAATATTTCGCTCGCCAAGGGTTATCGACTCCCTGGGGGCTTACATCTGCCCCCAAAATATTTTGTTCGCCAAGGGTTATCGACTCCCTGGGGTTCACAGTGCCCCCAAAACATTTCATTCGCCATGGGTCATCGACTCTCTGGGGGTCTACTCCCGCCCCCCTCGAACGGTTCAGATAACCGAAGAGGACCTTCAGCATATGATCGCCGAACCTTCAACAAGATCAACTTCTACTTGCTCCTCTAACGGTTCAGATAACCGATAAGGACCTTCTGCGTATAATCGCGGAAGCTTCAACTTGTGCTACCACTGAAGCAGTGGCACCATACATCGTCATAGCAGGAGCCAACGCTCCTCCTCGTGAGGCCCCACTGGGTCCTCAACATGATCAATTTCTACTTACTTCTCGAACGGTTCAGATAACCGAAGAAGACCTTCAGCGTATGATCACGGAAGATTCAACTCGTGCTGCCACTGAATCAGTGGCACCATATATCGCCAAGGTTGGGCTTCTCACCCCAATGGTTCGTGATCGCCTCATCCTAAATGGGGGGCTATCTCATCCTAAAGTTGGGCATCTCATCTCAAGGGTGGTACATCCACTTACCTTTCAACCCCAAGGGGTTTCACATCCCATCAAGTGTTTCACATCCCTACTTCAAAAACAGAAAAAAAAAAGGGCTGACGCGCACGCGCGAACCAATGGCACAACCGTGCGCATCCACCTCAGACCATAGGTCTCGAGCGCCTTATCCTACAGTGGGCAGTTATCTCCATCCTAAGGTTGGGCATGACCCTTACCTTTCATCCCCAAGGGGGTGCACATCTCATCTCAAGGAACGAGGATAATCTCCCTACTCAAAAAATAGAACATCCCCAAGGGGGTGCACATCCCATCTCAAGGAACGAGGATAATCTCCCTACTCAAAAAATAGAACATCCCCAAGGGGGTGCACATCCCATCTCAAGGAACGAGGATAATCTCCCTACTCAAAAAATAGAACATCCCCAAGGGGGTGCATATCCCATCTCAAGGAACGAGGATAATCTCCCTACTCAAAAAATAGAACATCCCCAAGGGGGTGAATATCAGCCAAATAAAAAAAAAAGGGGGGGTAAAATCGCGCATGCGAGACCGCAGAAGAAGATAAAAAAATACAAGAACAAGAAGAAGAAAAAAGAGAGTAAAAGAAGAAGAATTAGAAGAAGAAAGAAAGAAAAAAGAAGAAGGAAGAAGAAAATAGGAAAAAGAGAGAAAAAGAAGATGAGAATTAGAAGAAAAGAGAAAAAAACAACAAAAAAGAGTAGAAGACAAAAGAAGAAAGAAAAAGAAGCAAAAAAAGACAAAAGAAAGAAAAGGACAAAAAGACAAGAAAAACGCGCGCGTCAGCGCGCTCCGCCCAAGGGTGCATCGGTCCGCGCGAACGCGCGGTAAAAAAAAAAAAAAAAAAAAAAAAAAAAAAAGAGAAAGGGCCCTCACGCGCGCGCGCGGCTTCCCGTGTACGCGCGCGCGCCTCCCTAGGGTGCCCTGGACCCCCCCCTCCCATATAATTGGGCACAACTTTCACCGCCCTCCCCCGAGTGGCCCGCAGATTTGACTCGCTTTATCAATCGCACGAGAATTCAACGCGTTCCACCAAATTGCGCGAGCTCTTTAACGCACCTACCAAATTGCGTTCGCTATCAAATGGAAAATAAAAAAAAAATTATTTCTCCACGCCATGCCAACGATTAACGCAAGACTACATCACCGATCTACTCTCAATACGATCCGGTACCCCTTTCGACTTGGCTCCCACATCGTCTCGAGAGTGGGGGGCTTGCGAGACAACTCCCACGAGGAGCCAACTCGCTCAGTACTACCACCCGTTGCGAGGTAACTCCCACGAGGAGCCAACTTCCTCGGGTCTCAACACCAAAGCGAGACAACTCCCACGAGGAGATAACTCGCTCCGTCCTACAACCCGCAGCGAGACAACTCCCACGAGGAGCCAACTCCCTCGGGTCTACGAAACCATAGCGAGATAACTCCCACGAGGAGACCATTCGCTCTGTCCTATAACCCGTTGCGAGGCAACTCCCACGAGGAGCCAACTCCCTCGGGTCTCAACGCCAGAGCGAGATAACTCCCACGAGGAGCAAACTCGCTCGGCCCTACACACTCGTTGCGAGACAACTCCCACGAGGAGCCAACTCGCTCGGAACTACAACCCGTAGCGAGACAACTCCCACGAGGAGATAACTCGCTCCGTCCTACAACCCGCAGCGAGACAACTCCCACGAGGAGCCAACTCCCTCGGGTCTACGAAACCATAGCGAGATAACTCCCACGAGGAGACCATTCGCTCCGTCTTATAGCCCGTTGTGGGACAACTCCCACGAGGAGCTAACCCCCTCTAGTCTCAAAACTACAGCGAGACAACTCCTACGAGGAGACCACTCGCTCCATCCTACGATCCGCAGCGAGGAAACTCCCACGAGGAGCCAACTCGCTCGGTCCTACGAACCCACAGCGAGATAACTCCTACGAGGAGACCACTCGCTCCATCCTATGATCCGCAGCGAGATTACTCCCACGAGGAGCCAACTCGCTCAGTACTACAACCTACAGCGAGATAACTCCCACGAGGAGACAACTCGCTCGGTATCCCAACCCGCAGCGGGACAACTCCCACGAGGAGCTAACTCGCTCGATATTACAAATCCGTTGCAAGGCAACTCCCACGTGCAACCACCTCGCTCGATAATAAGACTCGCTGCGAAACAACTCCCACGAGGAGACAACTCGCTCAGAGCAACCTCAATCCACACGCACCTAAATCGCGCATCATCCAATGCTCCTACAACTTCGCTCAAGACAACTCCCATGAGGAGACAACTCGCCCGAAATTCACCATATAATCGCAAGCTCAAGTTAGCACGATTACAATCCTAGAAGCACTTAGAGATATTATGAGAATCTATATAGCCTGGCCAGCTTGATTACTCAAATTTATCTACTTGTTTTCGATGGGTTATTCATTAAAACGTGGCCACGGTCCAAACATACTTAAGACCCACGAGGTCTAACAAGGGGCACGACCCCCATATAAAAAAAAATCTTGAGAGCCTGATCCCCTCATCAAGTACATCACGCAGAAAGCTATATGTAAACACATACAAGCAACGCGTCAAAACATTGAAAATGTCGAAAAATAACAACTCCCACGAGGAGAATACTAGCTCCGTGCTACTACATTATCGTGAGACAACTTCCACGAAGACGTAACTCGATCAACTCGATTACCCCAGAGACAACTCCCACGAGGAGATTACTTGATCCGTGCTACTACATTATCGCGAGACAACTCCCACGAGGAGATAACTCGATCAACACTATTACCCCGCGACAAGATAGCTCCCACGAGGAGATAAATCGCTACTACATCGTCGCGGGACAAAACCGACGACTCGATTAATTTATATTGCGGCAACTTTGTCGCGCTATGCGCCAACGCGCATTCACACCCCTCCGACACACGCTCCAACGCGTTTTCGCATACCATTAGGCCATACGCCAATGATCGACTTCTCCAATTTTTACTCTCGACACGATTTGAGACCCATCACAACATGGCCCCCACATCGACTCGAGAGTGGGGGGCTTAATGATATGCCTAATTGGGCCAACCCAATGGGCCTACAATTTCTTTACCTACTGGGCTACGAGTCCAATATCGAAGACTAATATCACCGAGGCCCAAACACCTTCAAGTAAGGCTTGGGCCCAACAAAGCAAACCCAACCCAATAAACGACATATAAATAGAGGTTTTCCTCATTTTATTAAGAGACGTCCTATTAACTGAGCAATACAAAAACGCGTATTCTCTGGACTATTTCTATGATCAGCACGTCTGACTTGAGCGTCGGAGGGGTTTCCGCCGGATCAACCCCCGGCTTAGTTCATGTGTTCTATGATCGCAGGTACCTCAGGATCATCAAGTTGTCAAGCTACTGATCTGCTTTGCTCTCCCAGCTCATTTTCTACACCACCCTAGGTGAGCTAGTAATTAGCATCATCAATCACTATAATCTTTCTATATGGGATTTGTTTTGCTAATTTGGAGGGAATTGTTAGTTTCGATAAACTTCCAAATTATTGCTTTTGCTAATGGCAAATATCTCCAATTCTAGACTTTTCAATTCCTTTAAATACGTCTTTGTAACTTTCAATTCCTTCAAATTCATTTCTTATTTATAAGACAATTAACAAAAAATGTCAACCACTATTGGTAAATAAACTGTTTGGTTATCATGATTGGAATTTTGACATTGATCCCACTCCTATAATTTGGATAATTGGTTAAAATTCTTTCTAATATCTTATATATAAAAGAAAAAACGTTAAGGCAACATAAGTAAGAATTTTTAATATTAATTAATAGTATTTTTTCATCTCCTATTTTCTAGTTTTTTTCGCTAATTGCCTTCATTTCGAACTTTTTAACACAATAATTTATTTTCGAAAAATAAGTAGAAATAGTGAACAAATTACAAAAATGCCACTAGAGTTTTCTAGAGTTGGACAACGTATGCTACTTTTTTATGTATAAGATAGGATATATTTTTTTTATAGAGTTGGATTGATTTCCAGTTAACCCTAAATTCATTTTCAGCTACCTTGATATAATTAATTGCCCACAATATAAATTGAACTCTTTAAATAAGACCCATAATCCACTAATTCAAAGCTCAAAATCATCATATTACACACACACACACACACAAAAAAACACACAAACACAACAAAAAATATATTGTCCAAATTGCAAAATGAAAGTCACAATAAAAAGTTGTTGCTTAGTGGAGCCAGCAGAATCAACGTGGAATGGCTGCATGGCGTTGACCGAGTCCGACCAAACCGGTTTTCTAACTCATGTCCCAACGATCTACTTTTACCGCCCTTCTCTAAACTGGCTCACTTCATCGAAACAAACCATGTTCGAAACCCTAAGAGTTTCTTTAGGCAAAGCTTTGGTCCATTTCTACCCGTTAGCGGGCCGTCTACGTTGGCTGGCCGGGTCCCGTCTCGAGCTCGATTGTAACGGGAAAGGGGTCGAGTTGATTGAAGCTCGGACCGAGTCGGATTTGGATGAACTTGGCGACTTCTCTCCGTCTCCTCACTTCGACCACCTTATCCCTCAGATGAACTACTCATCCCCCATTGAAGAAATCCCTCTCTTGAGCGTGCAGCTTACCGAGTTCCGGTGCGGCGGCGTTACTCTTAGCTACAATATATCCCACGCGGCGACCGACGGCCAGAGCGCCCTCCATTTCATCACCGAGTGGGCCAGACTGGCACGTGGCGAGCCGCTGGCGGAGGAGCCTGTCCTTGATAGGAAGCTGTTTCGAGCCGGAGAACCTCCGTCGGCTCGGCCGCGTTTCGAGCACGTGCAGTTTGATCCTCCGCCGCTTCTTATGGGCCAGTCGAGTAGCGAGAATGAGAGGAGGAAGGAAACTACGACGGCCATGCTGAAGCTGTCGAAAGCCCAGCTTGAAATCCTCAGGAACGAAGCCAACGGTAGTATCACCGCGGCTCGTGGGTACTCTCGCTACGAGGCGGTAACCGGGCACTTGTGGCGGAGTGCGTGCATGGCGCGTGGCCACACGCGCGAGCAGCCGATTTCGCTGGGGCTCTGCGTGGACGTGCGGCGGCGAATGAAACCACCTCTGCCGGATAGGTACTTCGGAAACGCGATAATCGACGTGGTAGCGAGAAGCTTGGCGGGGGAGCTGATGACGCGGCCGCTGGGGTACGCCGCCGGAAAGGTGAGAGAGGCGATAGACGGGGTGACGTGCGAGTACGTGCATTCCGCCATTGATTACCTGAAAAACATGGAGGATCTGTCGGAGCTGCAGGACATACACGCGCTGAGAACGAAGGAGGGCGCCGGGGCGGTGTTCTACGGGAATCCGAATCTATGGGTGATAAGCTGGATTTCTCTCCCGTTGACTGGAGTTGATTTTGGGTGGGGGAAAGACATTGCGATGACGCCGGGGGCCCACGCCGGCGACGGTGATTCGGTGATCTTGCCGGGATGTGACGGTGATGGTTCGTTGGTGGTTGCGATTTGTCTTCAGTCTGAGTTCATGGAGGGTTTCAAGAAGTTCTTCTATCAAAATATTCCAAATTAAATTCACTAATTAATAATTAGTGGATTAATAAAGAATTTTCTGATCAATAATATATATGTAATTACTATACGTTGTTATAAAATGAAAATATATAGAAATACTATAATTGTTTTTATAAATATTTAAATTATATAATTCGTAATTATATATTTTTTGTTGTAATTTCATGCATATTAAATACAATTTGCAGCCGAATTCAACATTAATTTGAGTAGAGTTATAGTGTTTGAACTTGTATTTCATATTTATTGCGAATTTTTATTATTTGTTATTGGATGAAATTTATGATTTTCTTTGCATATTGTTTATTTTTTGAAGGAGAATAACGAACGAGGTTGATAGTTGACTGGAACGGTCAATTAGGTAGGTCGACTAATATAATGTTATTGTTATAAATCAATGTCGGTTTGTATTCGATTTGAATGGTCGATCAACTAAGTAAATAGACTATTTGTTTTTTAAAAGATAATTATAAATTAGTAAATTTAATTAATCGATTGTATTCGACCAAACAACTTAAATCATCTCAATTTTTTGAGAGAAAAAACTATAAATCATTCGACCTACTTAGTTGAACATATTAGTGGCAATTTGAATGTACTTAATTGGTCATATATACGGAAACACAGAAAAAATTAGTGTAAATTACGACCACCTCCTTAAAATAAAGTTATAATACAAAAAAACACCCCGTATTTTCTAGAAATTATATTCAGCCCCCTGCAGTTGGTAAATTTTGTTACATCCATGATCAAACCCCCTCCCTACACAAGGGTGTTAGTGTAAAACATCTATAAATTTCAAGGGTTGAATGTAATTATGTAAAATAAAAGATTTTTTTCGTAAATAAACCTTACCTCGTGGAGGAGGATGTAATTTACCCAAACATTTATTAGTATACACTTACGAAACGGATAAGGGCCTAATTGTCCTTTCACACACTGACTTGGGGAAAAATTCGGTCTAATTTAATTAATAAATAAATAAATTGTTCTAGGGCATTCGTAAATACTATTTATAAACCCTTGTTGGCGTTCGCTCAACGACAGAGTAGCTGGGAAAAATTGCAGTGCAGCAGCAGCAGCAGCAGCAGTCACAAATCAACGCACGAAGAACGAAAAACGAGCCCAGAAAATCACAGATCGACAAATGGCTTCGAGGGTGGCTCTAAAGGCGGGGAAGGGGAAGAACGTGAAGAAATCGGCGGCGGCGGGCGAGGATGAGGGATCGGTGGCGGTGGCGGCGAAGTTCGTCAAGGAATGGAGCACGTGGACCATGAAGAAGGCTAAGGTCATTACTCACTACGGTTTCATACCATTGGTCATCATCATCGGCATGAATTCCGACCCCAAACCATCTCTCTCTCAACTCCTCAGCCCCGTCTGAGAACAATTGATTCTGTAATTTGAGGTTTTGATGTTGAGTTTCTTCTTCTTCTCCCTTCTTCGTTATGTGTTATCAGTCGAATTTACAATTAGGGATTTCGATTTTACGGTTAGGGATTTTGAGCTAGTCCTCTTTGATTTCATGTATTGGATCTGTGCGCGTGTTTTCCAGATGCTGGTTATGATGTGCCCTAATAAATACATTTTATTTCGGTGATTGATTATAAATGTTCTTTCTAATTGGTTATGGTTTTATTGATTATTGTTTGTTTAGAGATTATATGGTAGTTATCTTTGTGAGTGCTAGCTGATTCTTTCCATTTACGAAACCGATATGCTTACAACGAGTCTGAGTATACTTTACAGGCAAATATATGATGGAAGGATGGTGTAGATATATTTTATTCGTTGAAATCTTGATGCAATTTAATGTAATTTGTGCTTGAAGGTTGAATCCGAAGATCTTCTTTGGCAGAACATTGCTTCTATCTGAGATTATGTTGCTTAGTGTCCACTAATTTGCTTTCTTCTGAATTTAATGTGTTGCTGCAATGCATACCAGAAGATAGCGCATACTTTTAACTGCTTAAATTGACACGGATTTCTTGTGTGGAATCAATGAGAAGATACATAAGTTTGGGAAAATAGTGGCTGTTGCATAACAACTATACGGTTGTATCTCGATTCTTTGAGGTAGTTCCATATTGCACTTGCATTTTCATGGAAGGTGGTAAGTTTTATCCTGCTCTGTTTACATATGTTCGTTCACACACATCTAATATGCGAATCTTTTGCTCGTTTTTATCCTGCTCTGTGTACACACGTTTTTATGCACCGTTATCTCAATTGACTGGTTTATTTACTCGGGTATTAAATCGCGACCCTCTTTCACCTTTTCCGTGTCATCTTCTTTCTGTCACTTTAGTAATGATAATTATTTTCTGATCGAAGAATTGGGATGTAACTGTTGCTCGAATTCAGATATTCGTGTTGAGAAAATTGTCATATGCAGAAACAATTACTTATGTTTGCTTGCTGTCTTTATTGCATTCTAGACATATGCTAGCTTATCCCTTTGCATTTTTGCTTGACACAAGTATTCAAGGTAAGCGCTACACTTGGTGCTTGTTGAATTTGAGTTGCCGCTAAATAAGTGATGGTATTCTTGATTGTGCTGTATGATTGTGCCATTTGAGAATGTATTGTGTGGTTCATGCCTTTAGATTATCACATCTCTGGCATCTCTTTCAACTTTTTTTTTTTTTTTTTTCTTTCTGAAATTACAGATCTTTTATATGTGGTGATGCTGTTTTCCATCCTCTTCTGAAAATTTTAATTGTTTTGGGATGTTTTATTTTATGGGCAAGAGTGATAAGAATTCTGACAAGTTTGATGTGAAATGCGTAAATTTAACAGGCGACCGGGTGTTAATCGGATCGGAATAAGCTCTTTCGGCAAAAAATCCGATTTATTTCGAAAGTGAAAAATTAGTTCCAATTCCGTACTGAAAAACTTGTTCCAAATAGTGGAATTCTGAAATTTCTATTTTTGATCGGCTAAAATATAAAATATATAATAATATTGGTATTTTAAGTGTAATATTCGGAAAAAAAATCGGAATTTTTGGATTATTTTTGGAATTTGAAATCTCATATATATTTCAATTCCGATCCAAATAATTTCAATAAAACCGGAACTCGAAATTTTGAATTCCGATTGAATTTTTTTTTTCGAAAAATACAATATTTTATTTCTTCGGTTAGCAATATTATGCAATTATTTTCAAGATATTGTTAATTAACTACTCCAAAAAAAACTATAGTTCTAGAAGAGGTGGCCCAGTTGGCGAGCCAGCCCAAATGCAGGCCGACGGGTCCTTTGGCCCAAAACAAATAAATTAAAAAAAAAAAAAAAAAAAGTTAAATTATATGTTATGTTAGAAGATTTGATAATTCACATTTACTATTAAAAAAAAGTTAAATTCGAAATTAATAGCCAGCATTAATAAAATCAATAGTTGTCATACTCATACATGCTATATTTATTTCTACGTATGGACAAAAAAAGAATTCTTTTTTATATTTTATCCATAAAATACTCCATATTAGAATATGATTATTGTCAAATAAGGAATGTAATTTCAAAAATATATTTAATATTTACTACTAAATTTTAACACTAAATATGACAAAAATAAAATAAAAATGAACATCTCATTACCTAAATAATTAATTAGTCAATAAGAAATTAATCCAATGCAAATTCAATTTAAATTTATTTGATTTCATCATTTGAATGGAAAAAATTAATGGATTGATTCACGAGTTCATCAAACTCGTTTCTAACTCACTTTTAAATCATGGTTTAATTTCATGAATTGATTCTCAGATTTGGCAAACCCAGTTGGTGCAATCCTTATTAATTGAAATATTTTTATAGCCCGTTATCTTTTATGTTATTCCAATTTTAACCCCCTTCAGACAGCCATAAATGTCAATTCTCTAGCTGCAATTGCTTATTTACTACACACACCCCTGTCTCTCTCTCTCTCTCTCTCTCTCTCTCTCTCTAGACCTCTTTTCACCTGACCCCTGCTGAGAAGAAACCTCTGCAAACACATTTTTTATACATATATACATACGAATGTGTGTTGTTATATACCTAGAATTTTGAAGAGCGTGATTATTACAGAATCAGCAGCTGATTCTTCGTTCTGTCGTTAATTATCGGCGTAGATCTTTTGATCTCTCCAATCCTCTTTTATGTAATTGTTTCTGCCCACTGTCATTTTCAATTTATTCAATGTGAATTATTGTCTATGTGCTTGGTTTGCCTAGGTTTTGGTGATGGGTTTCCTGCCCTAGTTTTTGCTTATCTCCATGTGGATCTTTTGTGCTTTTAATCCAATGGTTTTTTAATCAATTTACTTTTTAAGATTTTAATTTATATTGGCTTATTGATTTTCCGTGAATCTGTTCATTTTTTTCGGGTCATGGGTTTTGGTTTGCATGTCGGCTTTGCTGCTGTTTAAAGATAGATTAATCATGTGTTTTGTTTTGCAGATTGTCTGACCTATCTTCACCTCTCTTTTTTTTTTTCAATTTTTAATTTTTAATTTTGTTTTTCTGTATAATTCTATGGGTTGTGTGCCTTGGTAGCATTTTATTTTTTGTGTGGATGTAAATGTATCTTGTTAGACAATGCATATCTAGTAGAGATTGCTCAGGAAAAATGGGATTGGATGATTGCATCCAAAGATTTGGACTTGAAATTTCTGTTTTCCGATTAATTAGACTTTGAATTTATCGTGCATGGCTTTCGAAAATTCCCGTGGTATTTACGTATGTATGCCGAAAATTATAAGATACGTGATTTTTTTCCCTCGAAATTTAGCGTTTATCAGATTCATTAAACTTGTGTTTGCGAACAGAAATCTTATACTTGCCGTGGACGCTACTCTTTCAGGATTCCTTCAATCTCTCTTGAATTTCCAAATTTGCCGTCGGTCTCAGTTTTGGTTTACATTTAACTACATTAATTGCTTTGTGAAAATTATTGCTAGGCATATGAAGCGATTTTACGTGCTAGATTCATGGTGTAATAGTTAATTCCATTTGGACGAGAATATTGACTGAATGCATGCTTGTTTAAATGTGCCGTACTTCCCGTTTTCTTATTGTGGCCATGTAAGCTGATATAAATAGCCGAAAAGGAAACATGTATTGTTATGTTAGAAGATTCATGATTTCCATCACTCATTCATAAATTTATGATTGCTGTATTTGTAAATTGATTGTTTAATCTAATCGCTGGAATTGCTTTTTTATCTCAGTTATTACCTTGTCGAGTTGGGAGATCCTTTACCGGTGATCGCGAAAGAGTGAAGAGGAAGCAACAGATAATCCGAGGGTTAGTTTTCTTGGATATTAAGTGGTTGAAACTGGAAAGTTATTTATGTTTAAGCATTTATAAGTGTAATCTTGTGACTTTTAACACGTGTTAGAACTTAACTAGTTATGCTGTATATATCAGTAGGTAAATCGGGATTTTACGTAAAATCAAAAGGGGGTTGTAATTTTGGAACTTAAAATCATAGGATTTTGCGTATCTTGTAAATTTATATAGTATGCCATTTTTTTGACATGTATCGACATATATAAAGCATCTCCTAACATAAATGAAGTATGTCCCAACATAAATAAACATGTGTTTTCTGGTGGTTGTTGATTTCTTAGATTAGTTCTTGATCGTTGTTCATTGTTTCTATAGATTAGTGTTCTACTAGGATTTAACAAGGGTAGTAAAATCCTGAAATCCTAGATTTTAATCGGGATTTTAATTCTTGTGATGCAAACCTAAAAATAATTAATTGATAACTGCCGAATTATAAATGGAAAACATGATCTTGAATTCTTCATCTTCTCGTAAACTATATCCGAATATAATTATGTATGATGCCATGATTATCTTCAAAGTTTCGTCATCTCGTATGTCATATATCAACAATTGTTCAGCATCATAGCGCAATTGTTGGGATAAAACTGTGCTTATTATGTTCTAGTCGCGAGTTCTGTATTATTTTATGGACTCCTTGTTTAATATATTAAAGTTTCATTCTGTGATTTCTTTTCGTGATTTATTTCTTACTATGCAAATAAAAACATATCTTTGCTTTATCTACCATAGTTTGATTTGGTTTGTACAGTTTTTGGACTTAATTGCCTATAGAGTAGAAACACGACTGTACTTATTCTGACCACAAATTGCACTAACCATTTCGACAAGTTAAAAATTATCACGGCAACTCAAATTGAATGTATTCCTTTCTGTGTTGACAGTTGTTGAATCTGTTCTTCGGCTAAAGAAGAAAAAGATCTCACAATTTGCTGATCACATTCTTGGAGGTGAAGGAGAGAGCAATCATGCCCTTAAAACTCACCATCAAGCTGAAGAACGAGAAAACGGCAGACAGCTCTTCAACAGTTGCTGACCAACCGAGTAGTGTAGAAGGATTACCCGGTGCCACGTCGTCACCTGCCAGCTGTCAAGACCAAGGCGATCTCACTTCTGCGAGAGAGGTAGAAGAAAATCAAGTCATAGAAGATCCAGAAAATGAATCGGAAAACTCTGGATATCAAATGGTGGTTTACAACCCTGTTGTTGCGGATGCTTCTGCTGCAAACGAACTTGTTCCGGAACCTTCTTCTATTCCGAGGGAAAACCCCTTTGCGAATAGGGGGCCAAGAATTGTGCCGACTGTTGGTGCCTTCACTGTGCAATGTGCCAACTGTTTCAAATGGAGGCTGATTCCAACAAAGGAAAAGTATGAGGAAATAAGAGAGCATATTATCGAACAGCCCTTCTACTGTGAAACGGGCCGAGAATGGAGGCCCGATATATCGTGCGAAGATGCGCCTGATATTACCCAAGATGGCAGTAGGCTTTGGGCGATCGATAAACCCAACATTGCTCAACCACCCCCAGGCTGGCAAAGGCTTCTGAGAATCAGAGGTGAAGGGAGCACCAAATTTGCAGACGTGTATGCATTCTGTTTCCTTTATTTTTGCACCAAGTTTGCACCTTAGGTCGTTTAAATAATTGTTATAGTGTTCTTTATAATAGTAGAAGATTAAAAGGGTTGTCAACTTAACTCTTTGTCCACCTTTTTCGGTTAATATTTACAGGTATTACGTGGCTCCAACAGGCAAGAGACTTCGTTCAATGGTGGAAGTTCAAAAGTATAATAATAATTTCTTGATCTGTGACTATCTTTATTTGCCTCCCGTTTTTCGCCTCACAGCTCTTCTAACGGAGATGCTTTCTTGCTTAGGTACCTTGCTGAGAACACAAAGTACGCAGAAGAAGGTGTTAGGTTATCGCAGTTTTCATTTCAAATACCTAGACCACTGCAAGAAAACTATGTGCGCAAGCGTACCGCTCGTACTGCACAGACAACTGATTTTAATCCTTTGGAAGGTAACTCTTAACTCTTAATTTCTTCAGGACGTATGTTGTCATAAATTATGTAATTATGGGCCGTTTGATTTATAAGAATTAATTACATTGATAGCGCGGGATTTATTTATTTTTTGCAGTTCGTCCTTTAGCATGGGTAAATCCTGACGAGGATGATGCAGCGGAATATCCCGATTTGGACCCTGAAATTCAATCGGCTAAGAGGCAAAGGAGCGATGGTGATTTAGTTTTATAAACAAAATGATGTGGATAACGTGGAAGAGCCACGTCAGCGCCGATCGGGTGTTTATAATGTGAAATGTGAGCTCATGTTGGGTGCACTTTTTGTACCTTATTTGGTGCTAAGTTGGTGCATGTTGTAACGATATTTCGGTTGGGAATTATAGTTTTCGCTTCAAACTTTGGCAATTTTGTACTACATAGTTCTGGATGTAGGTTTTCTTATGGATTTTTTTTTTACAAATATTTATATACATACATGTTGTATAATTGTAAGTAACCTTGTATTTCTTGGACAAGTTGGTTTGATGTAGTCCCTATTTACAAAACTACAGTAAACCACACTCCCACACAATGGTAGAGAGAGATCACAAATATTTATGTGCAAAAATCAGCCGTTACAGCTTCGTCCGAAGTCAGAAAGCCCTAATGACCTCACCATCCGCGGACGCATCGTACCCACTGCCTAAACCCTTGATTACAGATAGCGATAATGGCAACTTCGCCCCCCATCGTACCCACTGCCTAAACCCTTGATTACAGATAGCGATAATGGCAACTTCGCCCCCCATTGGCTAAACCCTCGGTTTCGGAATTTTGTTACACCCTTTAGTGGTAGGTATTAGACCGGTTACAAAAACTTTTATTTTTCCATTTTAGTATGCGTTTGTTCATAATCGTCATATCGAAGACAACATTATGATGGCTCATAAAAATCTGCGTATATACTATGAAATCTAGCAAAAGAGCCACGTCAGCGCTGACCGGGTGTTTATAATGTGAAACGTGAGCTCGTGTTGGGTGTACTTTTTGTACCTCATTTGCTGCTAAGCTGGCGCAATGTTGTAGCGATATTTGGACAATAACTATTATATACTTCGATCAAAAAATGTGAAATATTTCCACAAGAATATCTATTTACAGCAAACAAGAACAGATGAGAGCAGCCGATCGGCAGCTCCGGTGACAGTGGCCCCCTTCCTTTTAACAAACAACAAATATTCCACCGCCTCCTCAGTGATAAACTCACCGGGAAACAGCACCGGAATTCCAGGTGGATACGTACATATCAACTCCCCACATATTTCACCCACACTTTCCTCGATCACAACTTTTCTCTTACTTGCAAAGAAAGCATCTCTCGGACTCAAAACCATCTTAATATCATTATCGAAAACTGCCACCTTTTTTACGTCAATCGCCCTTTCCACATTGATGTAATAAGTTTCCGACAAATACTTCAATCCCAAGACAAGTCTCGAGACATGTTCCCTCTTAGTTCCTAGGTTAAACGCTAGTGTAATAGAGTGGGTCCCGACAAGTTCCGGAACCACCCCAAAATCCCTAAATAAGACTTCATCAGCTTCAAAACCCGAAAGACCAATGCCCTGCATTCCAACAGTGACTCTCAAAGGATCGATACCAAGAAAATTCGGAAAATCAAGAACGTCCAAAACCGAGATTCCAGGAATCTTTTTGATCCCATTTTTTGCTCCGACAGCTAATCGAATAGCTTCGTTGAAAATATTTTCCGGGTTTTCGCTTAGCTGGGCTCTAGCAGCGTCCAACGAGGCTAACAGCAGATAACTCGGGCTGCTGCTTTGAAGTGTTTGAAGGCACCTGCAAATTTTTTCTCTGTCTATCAAGTTGCCAGAGAGATGCAGCATTGATGACTGTGTGAGTGAGCACAGTACTTTGTGTGTTGACTGCACTACAAGATCGGCCCCTTGGGAGAGAGCTGAGGTGGGGAGGTGGCGGTGGAAGCTGAAGTGGGCCCCGTGAGCCTCGTCTACTATTAGTGGGATTTTGTTATTGCGACACAACTGTGAGATTTCGCGAATGTCACTGCATATACCGTGGTAGCTAGGCGAAACGATGAAAACGGCAGCTGGATTCCGACCTTCCTTCTGTACCACCTCCTTGATTGCTGCTTCTACCTGTTTATCACAGCCATGTCGACTTAGCGGAGGACACAGTTCTCTTAAGGCCTCGTTTGGTTCTTAAGATAATATTAGCCAATATATAATCTCATGACAAGAACTCAATTGTATTGTCGGAATTCAATAGATAATCTCTCAATTAGTCAAGAATCAAGACTAGAGTCATTTTTTCCACGACGTGGGCCGGCCCGAAAAGTTGTTGGACTAATCGAACATCCGATGAAGTCCAATTATTTAATTTAAACATGGCTAATTTTACCACCCAAACAAGGCCTAAGTAGATAAAACAAGACAATATTTTCTGAAAAAAGGAGACAAATCATTAAATTATGATTCACAAAAAAAAAAAAAACTACAAAAAAATAGATTGAACTTGCCTGTGAAGGAGTGATGCCACCGGCTATATCCCAATCGGAGTGATATTCAGGAACAATGTACTTAGGCACTGCACCAGATAACACCATACCAGAAATTGCAGAGATATGACAGTTTCGAGGAAGAACAAGAGTTTCTCCAGGTAGACAAGTTGCCATTATTGCTGTCTGAACTCCACATGTACTCCCACCGACAAGAAACCATGTCTCTGATGCTCCGAAAAGTTCAGCGGCCCGTTTTTGTGCTTCTAAAATAGGTCCTTCCGGAGAAAAGAGATTGTCTAGCTCCGGAAGTTCCGGTAAGTCATGAAGAAACGGTCTTTCACCGATCAGATCCGTGAAAGATGAAGGAGCTGCGTTTCCTCTGTTATGCCCCGGGAAGTGAAAACGGGCTGCATTTTGTTCGGCCGAAGCTTTTAATGCAGTAACAAGAGGAGGGTTTTCTGTATTCGGAGAATCATTCTTGAATAGATTACTATGTTCTTCTTGCTTTTTTCGTAATGCTACACGAGAACTTTCCTGCAGAAATAGATTCGAAAAATTGGGCATTGATTTCACAAGCTTTAATTTTAGTACCAATGGAATCGATACGTATAATCGAACACATTATGAGAAGTTATGCTACTTTACATTGATTGGAAATTAACAATTCAAAGAAGTTTGATACATAAACTAATAGCAATTCTGGGCAAATTTGTGGAACCTAATTCATAAAGATCAACCTCAATACCAACTAATAAAAAATCAAAATATCAACAGTTACCTATTAACATCGCAAAAATAACATCTTAAAACCATTCGAGGTAATAAAAAAAAAAAAAAAAAAAGATTACATTTTTATTTATTTATTTGAATGAGAAAACCCACCTGAGAAACACAAGCTCTTGGCGTTTTGATGAGCCTGAAACTCCAGTTATGGCCAATATTCAGACACGAGTTCTGCAATAAATAAATAAGAAAATGTATTAGAGAAAAAGAATAAAACTTTCTTCTTCTTCTTCTTGCTCTAGATGATGGCGCGAGATTTGAGGGCTTACTCACCATATCCAGAAGCGAAACCCAGAAAATATAATACACTGTTCGCCCCAAGACAAAAACGCGCGTCAAAGATTGTATTATTCGTTTCCAGTTTCTATGATGTAATAATTGAAATTTATTTTGGACCAATATTTCTTATCTACTACACAGTTTGGCCGATATAGGACAAGGCCCATCTTTCCCAGGCTAAATAATGCGTCAGCCCAGAATTAACTCGACCCCAAATTTGGAATTAACTCTAGCCCAAAACTAATTCAAAACTTGAACATTTCTTTTCGGCCCAAATCAAAATAAACTATATTAAGGCCCACTGCAACGGTCAGGTCCAAATTTTGGGCCACTCCACAATTAACCAAGGTCAAAAAACTAGCCTATTACAGGCCCAATTTAAGATCATTTCCAGGCCACTGTACAATTAATACAAGCCCAAAAAATACGCCTACCCCAAGCCCATGCTAGACCTATTCCAGACCCATACCCAGATTATTTCCAGGCCCACGCCACATCTTAAACGGGCCGTAAATTTGAGGATTATCCAGGCCCAAATTACTATTAAACGTGGCAAAAAACTTTTTCATAATCAAAATCTCAAAAAACTGTACGCTATAGTACACAGATTTTGGATAAAATTCGTGGAACATCACGATCAAAATCAGCTAAGATTGTACGTTATTGTACACATATTTTGGGTAAAATTGGTGGAATGTCTAAAAACTTTTTTCACGATCAAAATCACCAAAAACTGTATACTATATAGTACACATATTTTGGGTAAAATTGATGGAACATCCAAAAAAAAATTCACGATCAAAATCACCAAAACCGATTCCAATTTTATCAAAAAAATTGTGTACTATATATAGTATACAATTTTTTGTGATTTTGATCGTGAAATAGTTTTTTGGACGTTGCATCAATATGTGACGTCCAACCCCACAAGCAGTGTTAAATTCCTTGTTTCTGCAAATTATCAAAACTAAAATTAAGTTTTTCGATGAAATTTGTAATGTAACATAAGGTTTCTTTCGATTATTAGACGACTCATCTCAAACTCTCTCAACAATATGCCAATATCGCTTGCCCGAAATCGCATTAGGGAGGAATACCACATTGCCTTGGCAGCAAAATAAAGAAAATAAATCTAACATTCACTAAATATAAACAAACACGGGAATGAATCATTACTCGAAGCCAAAAGATAGGAATGCAGGTTCACTGATTGCTCATATTAACTAGTTAGAATCTTTTACACTGCAGAAAATATCAACTACTTTGCATGTTTATAATGCACGAGAAAGGGAAAATGAAAAAAAAAAAAAAAAATCCCAAAAGAGGATCGTTTTCAGACCTCAATTTTCAGCGTGTTGAGGGCTGTTTGCAATATTTTCTTCCAAATTCCATCCCCTGATTACGAAAATAAGAAACTCATGAAACAAGCAAATCAAAGAGGGAAAAACCTAAACGACGAGGAAATTGATTACCTTCCAACAGCTTCATTCTTTAGCTCTTCCATACGGGTTTCAATTTCACCACATGCAGCTTGGATTTCAATGTTTTTCAAGCATAGCTCCCTCCATTGTGTAGATAAAGCATTCAGCTCATAGGCAGTGTTTTGCTGAACAATTACAGAAGAAAATATTACATTTCAAAACAACAAGCCCATTCTTTCATGTTTTTTTTCCTCCTTTGCAGTATCGTTAAAAGTTAAAACCTAGCACAAAAAGGCGACGACTGTTTTTCAGTTACCTGGTGATACTTCCTCTCTCTATTTACAGATTCAATGTTTCCACTGAGCTCCAAAACTTGTGATTGCATTCTGAAAAGGAAGCCAAATACCAATATTATTTTTCAATTTTCTTACATGTACTCATTGTTTTCCCATGAGATGGTAATCCATCAATTATCGGTATAATAAGAGGGTGCCTTAAATGGTGAAAATAAATGTTAATAATCGATAAAAAGAATCTGTAGAAAACTGAAGAAAAGTTGCATAAAGGATCAAGAATATAACAAATGTACTCCATACAGATGCTCTTCCATAGAGAATTTAACAAGTAACGGTACGAGCGCACCTTGCCAGAAATGCTTCCAACTGTTGATTATACAACTTCCAAACTTCAGGGCCATGCTTGGACATCAAATCCAGATTCTCAAGCCTACAAAACAAAGAACCAAAGTCAAGGTCGACCTCAGAAAACGAGGTATAACAGAAGTGTCTCGTGCCAAGATTTTCGATCGTTTGAATATATGATAGGGACATCTTTTCAAATTCGAAGGTGAATGTAATCATTCTATTCACGACCAGATTCGTGGAATATAATATGGAGTTTAGACTGACGTCTTACTAATATTTATCATCTTGGATGAACATTGTTCAAATCGTGCCTTACGACAATCCTAACATTTTTCTTGTTTGCTTTTTCCATTTCTCTTTTACTGAATCAGAAGAAACAAAAAAAATATTTCATTACAATCACGAGCCATTACCTGATTACTTGATGCTGCAACAAACGCTGAGCTTTCTGGACTGCCTGCCTCCATGCAGTCTCGTCATTCCGTTTGTTCATCGGCGGCATTTCAAGTCCGTATCTCGATGTATCCATTAGCACTGGTGGCTTTCCAGCTCTGACCCTCTCGTATTCTCTAGCAAGCATTGGATGATCCTGAAATATCGATATTATTAGCAAGAGAGAGGCACTAAATCTCTTTCTCACAACACACACACACACAAAGCACCACAAATGATAGAAGTTTCGAATTTTGACACACACCTGAAAATTGGATTTGGGGAGAGGGGGAAGGTCTTTGAGAAAATCGGAAGGTTTCTTGGAGCTACGGCGCATCTCATCTTCAACCAATCGGTCCACTTCTTCTTTAACTGCCGGGTTGCCGTAGTCATCATCAATGTAAGGCAGCGCATCAATTATTTGAGCTGGCGGTGCTGCAGCTAACTGAGGCGGTGCCTCTAGCATCAATATATCTTCATTACTTCCATTTGCAATCGCCATAACTTTGCCCCTGCTGATTACACTTAGTGGTGAGAATTTGTGTCGTATAGTTGGAGCTAAGAAGGCCTGTTATATTTGGGCTTCTAATTATGGTTAATTGCTGCTGCCCCCAACCAATTCCACTACAATTAAGATGTTGAAGACATTAAGAACATCTAAACCTAGGATTACGAAAATTTCGATAAAACCGAACTTTAGGTATGAAATTTCACCAGGCTGTATCATAAATACAACTAGAATAAACACTCAAACTATATTCACTATTTTGAAAACTGATAGTGACAATTAATGAAAAAACAAATATGAAGGAGACTGATAATTTTTGAAAAAAAAAAAAGCAATTGAAACAACAGTGAAGGGGATTTTACTTAGGTTTCAGACCACAGTCAGCTTCATTTAACCATAACTAAGGAAGAACTACCTGATTTCAGTGGCTAGGTTTTCAAAACTAGAGATGCTCGGAAAGCGCTGAATCTGGACTCAATCGGAGAAAATCGTGTGTTTGTTGGCACGCGAAGAGCTGACTGTAGCGGCCGGTGAGGAGCGGCGCCGTAGCGGAGGGCCAAATTAGCTGCCGGCAAGTAAGTGTGGAAGAGGAGGTGAGTGATTGCTCAACTGCGCTCGACGGAGAACTGATGGTGTGGTCTGAGGACTGAGGCTGAGAAAAAAACTTGCGGGCCGAGACTGACTAGTGTGATCGGCCCATTATACAATCAACTGACCTAATCAAAGCCCGAATAAAGGCCTTAATTGAATGGCCCAAATGAAAACATATGAATATTCAAAAATTATTTTCCTTCAAATAATAAATAATTAATATTGGAAACGATAATTAATGCAGTATTCGAAGTTTAAAGTGACAGATGATACGAAACAAGAAATTGTTTTTCCAAAACGACCGTTGATTTGGAACGTATGCAATATAACGACAAAGTTGTACGTCGTTTCTTAAACGTAATTATAGTTTTGGACATAACCTCTTAACCACTAGATTTTTAGGGTACCCTACTTAGGAGAGGGTGTCTAGCAATTATTGAGTTTTGTAATCTGTTTTAGCTGGCTTGTAGGATCCCATTAAGGAAATCACTCAAAAGAGTCGGCCAATATTTTGCATTTAATGAGGTTTTGGCTCATCCGGAAGATCAATTTTTATATATAGTAAAATTGCTCAAACTCAATTTCACTAATAAAAAATAGGTTCATCTCAAATATAATTAGGCCGAGTCATCGGGTTTCTGTTAGGCCCGGATCAATTAACGGTCCTAATTATATATGATATTTCAAGTACAATTGTGGTTTTCTTCATCAATCAAGTCCGGCATAGAATTATGAATACAGTGGCTAGCACATAATGGGAATCCCACTAAGTAGCACATGACTTGTTTAATTCGATTCAATCTTTATTTTATATTTTTTATTTTGTAAATTTTTGTAGTAACGCAGAGTTTACTAAGTACTAATATGTAGTTGTGACTATCGATTAGACGTTAAAGCTAAATTTAGTGGATGTTAGGATAAATTCAATGTCATTATGGAATTTGATTTTCCTTGCCACTAATCTTTAATGAAGCCCAATCAAGTTGGGATCGTTTGATTCCTTAACATGATAATTTTGAAACCATTTGATATATACCCTTGCATATGTAGTACTCAAATGTAATTATGAGCTATTGCTTACATTATTATCAAGTGGAACTACTATTAAGCACTAAGCACACATGCATGTGATCGTGTTTTTTTGTTCAGGCTGTTGCGTAATTGAGTTATCAAAAGTGTAACTCTCTAAATATTCAATCAAAAGTGAACATGTAGCAATTACAAATAAAATCACCCATAGACTTCCAATTAATAATTGGATGAATTTTAATCAATATTAAAATATTATCTCAAATATCAAATAAATATTTAATAATTCAATTTTGGTATTTAGCATTGGAGATGCTAGGATAAAATATGAAGCCAAAAATAAATATTTAGAATGCCTTTATTATTTACAACCGGGTCAACCCGGTCCATGCCAAGCTCATGGTCAAACATATATCAGCACGACACAGCACGTGCACCTCACCCTACATATTTACACGTGGCACTCTACTATAGGATGAGACCCAGGTGCAATTTTAGTCCACATCTGACGGGGCACGAGGGCCCACTTGGGTCGAGACATGTCAATGAATATGGGGCCCACATTGCATATCAAACGACTCGCACAAATGTCAACTAGTGGTGAAATTAGCACTATATTTTTCAATTTCAATTTTGTTTCGGAAAAAAAAATAGAATCTCGTATTTAATTAAATTTCAGTCCAAAAAATTTCATCAAATAATTGAAATCAGGAACTTAATAACTTTAGAATGCAAGCTATTTATTTCAAATTTTAAAAAATTAGAATCAAAATAGACGAAATTCAAAAATTCGGTTCAATTTTTTGCATATGAATACCTAGACATTTGGTCTTTTTATGATGTCACATGAGGAAACATGTAAGCACACAGTTTTGTTGCGGGAAGAAATGAAGTAATAAGAGCAGATTAATATAGTCGCATATAGGGATAATTACAGTTTTGGTCCCCCAAGTTTGCACGTTTTTCAGTTTTGGTCCCCCATTTACCGCCGTCAACAAAATACACACTAATGTTGTCAAATTTTAACACATTTAGTCCCTCCGTCTGTTTGACCGTTAAGTAGTAACGGTCAACTGTTGAATTAGGGTTGAATTTGGGATTTTTCATAGATAAAAATTGCACCCAGACCCCTGCATTCTTTTAAAATATTCTAGAACCCCCTAAAATTTTACCCAACCATAATTTAACCCCAATTTCATCATTTAATCAATTTTGACAAACGACCCCGATTTTTTTACCACCATTACCGTTGACCCTTGACCGCCGTTGATTTTTTTTTTTTTGTACTTTTTTTTTCGGCATTGATTTTTTTTATTTACTATTGATTTTGACGCCGTTCACCGACATTGTATTCTCGGTTAACAATGTTGACTTTTTTTATTTTTCTTGATTTTTTTCGAACTTTTTCCTTTAACTTTTTTTTTTCCGATCAACACAATTACTGTATAACACAATAATAATACAATATTAATATATAGTAATATTAAAATTACAACCTTCTAAGAAAGTTTTTATCTAAAATTTAGGGCCTAAATACAATTTTAAAAAAATTCTAAAATCCATAATTTCTTCCCCTCAATTTTTTCTTCGTGGAACCGCGAGTGCATCTCAAATTTCTTCCCAAGAAAATATGAAGAAGATGAATTAGGCATGTGCGGAGTAATTTATAATGAGAAAACCACTTTACTACAACGGTTTTTGGGGCTAGCACCGGCCGTTAATTTTTATCTTTTTTTTTGTCTTAAAATTTTTTCGTCATTGAGATGCGTTGACTTTTTCAGTTTTTCTTTATTTTGAATTTTTTTATGATATTATTTTCTTGCCGATTATCAGCTTTGATTTTTTAATTATATTTTTCCATTATTGAACAATTTAAATAAAAATTAAGAAAAAAAATCAACGCTGTTAAGACGACATTCAACATCGGTCAACAACGGGAAAAAAATCAATCGACAAAAAAGTCAACCGAGTTAAAAGGAAAGTCAACGTCGGATTACCCAATTTTGAAAAATCGGGGTCATGGGTTAAAATTGGTTAATTGATGAAATATGGGTTAAATTATGGTTGAATAAAATTTTAGAGGTTTTTAGAATATTTTGAAAGAATACAGGGGTATTATTGCAATTTTCTCAAAGAAAAACCCCAAATTCAGCCGTTGACCGTTACTACTTAACGGTCAAACAAACGGAGGGACTAAATGTGTTAAAATGTGACAACATTAGTGTGTATTTTGTTGACGGCGGTAAATGGAGGACCAAAAGTGAAAAACGGGCAAACTTGGGGGACCAAAACTGTAATTATCCCTCGCATATATATAATGCAAATATAAGACTTTGGTCCCGAAAAGTTCGTTGTTTGTGGTCCTGTACTCATGTTAACATTTTTCGTTAATTTGCGAGTTTTATTAAATTATGATCATATTATAAAGGGTAAATAATATGAAACTTTCTTAACTTTGTCCATTTTTACTGATTACCACCTCAAAGAAAAAAAAAACTCTGATTCCAGCTGAACTGAATCAATTGTGCCACATTGCCAATTTTTCTCATTTTCAGGCCAAAATGGCCGGACATAAACGCATGAGAGTTGCACATGCGAACTGTTTTACAATTTGTATAATAAAACTTGTGTTTGTTATTACAAATCTATGGATATATAATATAATCCTTCACACCGACAATATTATAAATGGTCCCAATATCTGGACTATGAATAAAGCGACATTTTAATTGAATTGTCTGTTCATGGTATATAACAAAAACCTCAAAATCACTAAAAAATCTTTAGAGACAAACTTAATAAATGTGGCATAATATCACATGGTTGGAATAATTCAATTACTCCCTCCATTTTCTAATGTCTCTTTTAGTCATAAAATATGTTACCATATCATTTGTATTGAGGTGATTGTACGGTAGTAAAACCAGAATTTTAAGTTCGATAATTAAGATGGGAATGATAGTGCAAAATTTTGGAGCACTTTAGTTTGTTCAAGAACCGTAATAGGTTTATTTATAATTAAATTATCTTTAACGAATAACTTTCAATTGAATTACAACTTTAATGGACTTGACGTGTGAAACTAATGAGATTGACCAATTAATTTAATTATTTGTAGGCCCAAATAAACATTAATTAATGAACCCACTAGATATATCAATTGCTAAACGACAAATTGACAAAATAGTGTTATAAGTGTGTCTACTAATGCCCAATTACAAGAAAATGTATTAATTACATTAATGCATAATTAACATTTCAATTATTTTTTAAATTTTATTACAATTGCATTTTACAAATTATCTTATAGTAAACAAAATTTATAAGTAATATTTGAAACACAAAATAGTCAACAATAATTATTGTGAACCACCACAAATATTTTGGAATCTCTAAGCCAGCTAAAATCAGCTAGCAATAGAGCCCAATCATTTTTCGGGTAGGGTCCTAATCATAAAATTATAACTGGATCCAGGCCAGACTATATACCATAATTATAATATTATTAGGATTAATGTATTTTCAGAAAATAAATTGACCCTATTTTTTATTTTTAAATATAAATACATGGTTTTAAAATTTATCGATTTTACCCTTTTTATGACTCTGAATATTAAATTATTTAAAATAATGGCAGAAAATAGGGAAAAAAAGAAAAAGCAACTCCACTAAAACAAGCCGGGTTTTCGGCTGCAAATGGTCACGACTTTATTCTAATATTAATAGAGCAGACCAATGGTTTGTCTAACTATATAATAATGTTAATAATATATTAATGAATTAAAAAAAATTAAAAGAAAAACTTATCAAATAGTAAAAGTATTATCCCCTAAAATAAAATCAAGGTTATTTTTTTATTTTTTTTTTTCAATAAGTGCGGCTCAGACATCAATAGCCGAGCCATCTACGCCGACCACTGACTTCATTGACGGCTCAACTGTAATTACGTCAGCGGAATTTCTCACAGTACTAGTGGAGCCCACTGACATGAAGAAATTAATATATCAATAATAATAGTACAAAATGAAATTTTGTCAAACAAAACTAAACAACAAAAATACTTTTTCAACTAAAGTTAAACTACTTTTTATGGAAAATAATATGTGAAAATATAATAAGCTTATGGTTGAAGAATCTACTCTTTTGCATTATTTCAGAAATTAAACGTATAATCAGTAAAAAATAATTAGTAATTACTAATTAGTAACAACAAACAAATAGTAATTTCTAGTTCATTTTAGTTTATTTATTTTTTTGATAAAAAAAAACAAATAGTAATTATAGGGACTGTTTGATAAAATAAAAAACTATAGGGACTGAATTGGTGAGGGCTGATAAAATTATTGGGTCAAAACGAGATTTTTCAGAAGGTAAGGTGCAAATCTGAAAATAAGAAACCTGCATAGAGCAGGTCAGCAGCTGACATATGTGGGCCGAGCCGCCGATTCAGTCTGGCACGGCACCAGCCACCAACTATGAATTATTTAATCCATGCAGTTTAAGCACAAAAAATAAAATAAAACACAATCAAGCTTTATTAGTTCTCACAATCATTAATTAGCCACTACATCCTTAATTAATTCAAATAATTTAGCTTTGGACTAACAAGAATTTACCTTGTACAATAAATATTTATCTTTGAAAAAGTAATGCGAAAAATAAAAGAAAAAAAGTAAAAACCACAAGATGATTAATGATTAATAATGATAGAATGTCAATGAAGTAGTAGCTAATATTATTAACATTGAATATTGACAATAACTACCATAGCTTTTATTTGACGCCTGCAGATTTATTAACTCCACCTCATTATTGCATTGCAGCTCCAAAATGTGATCAATTGATTTAAAACACACAGACTAATTAATGTGGAGTGTCAAGAGCTCAACATTAATTAACAATTCTTAATAGTATCATTTTTTTTAGAAAATAGAACTCCTTACACATGACTTTTCTAATACGATTTACACAATGATGCTGTCATCGATATGTTAACTCGAATCACCTCAAGATAATTCTCGAACATGTAATAAATATTTCAAGAACCGAAATAATTCTTATATAATCTTATTCAATTGGAAGAAACGAGGCGTTTCCTGTGTAAAAAAAAAAACACATTTTGGCGCCGGTGCTTGGTTTCAATGAAAACCCTCTGATGCTAAAGTTAGAGAAAAATATGGAAAAAATATAAGCTAAATATTAACAGTAAAAATGATAATTGAATTATTTATATACTGGATTTATTTGACTATAAGCCTGAAATATGATTTGGGAACTTAGTTAATAATTGGCCCAAATTTTATAATTATTTGGGCTTCACTACACTTTTAAAACACGTTTACGGTGGCACTGTAAAAATAAATAAATATTATTTTATTAATATTTATTAAAAAAAAAAAAAGAATTATGTTTGACATTTTTGCAATTTGTTTTGTTTTTAACTTTTTTTCAGTTTATTGTTTACAGTTAGTATAGCAGCAGCCTAAAAATCTGTAAACCCAAAAATAACCAATGGGTAAACGATGGAATTAATAATGTCTGCTGCAATGTAATAATGACAACTGAAGTTTGAATTTAATTTTTATCCGAACTGGTCAACTCTATAAGGCCCCCCGCAGTCTGACTCCTCCCTCAGGGATGAGTGTAGAGAGAGAAAGAGTTGTAATCAAAAAATCAATTTAGAGAGAGAAAGAGAATCACGAGGCATAAAAAAATATACTTATTTACTAAATAAATGGAAGGTTAGAACTTTGAGTAGAAAGAGAAACTTGGAATTGAGAGAGAGAGTGAAATCCTTGGAACAAGAGAGAGTAATTAAAAATGGGTGCTTGAATATATATATGTAGAGAGAGAGAGAGAGAGAGAGAGAGAGTGTGTGTGTAATTGTGTGTGTCTGGATGTGTAGTGTGGAAAAGGGGGCAATTAAAAGTAAAAATGCAGCATTTGGTCTCTGCTATACTCAACATCCCCTCCTTTCCCAAAGCTCCTCTTGTCTCCTCCCTTCGTTATAATTAAAAAAATCTATTTTCTCTCTCCATTCTAGCCGGAATTATTCTCCGGCGCCGACAAACCCTGTTTAAATCAATTAGCTGATCGATACTGTATTCCCTCACATTAGTTAAATTATTCAGCGGCGAGATGAGAATCTAGTGAGAACTCCGGCCGCTTATTTGAGCTGGAAAAGGGGAGTTCCTGAAGGGGAATGAAGACACCAAACTCCGGTGCCGGAGCTCCGCCTGCTAACGCCTCCGCCGCTGAAGGTCACTATCTCTCTCTCTCTACAGATGCAATTTTATTTATTTATTTTTTAGTTTAATATGTTCATTTTTTTCTTTTTAACAACTTTGGAGGAATAATACTGTGGTAAAAATCTGATCTTTTATTCCTGGAATGAAATAATAAATTTTGTAATGAAACGACGAAGCAGGTGAGAAGAAGAACATAAATCGGGAGCTATGGCAAGCATGCGCCGGTCCACTGGTAAACCTGCCGGTCGCCGGGACCCACGTCGTCTACTTTCCTCAAGGCCACAGCGAACAGGTTATTATTATTATTTCCCCCCTCTTTTTAATTTACTGCAATTCAGGGCAAAATCCATATTTCTTTTTCTGTATCTATCTTGTATGCATAGATTAATAAGGTTGTCCTTTTGGTTGAGTGGGGGGGAAGCTGCTAACTTGCGCCTCTGCGGTGTCGTTTAGCGTAACAGCCGTGCTCTCATATCCCCACCCCACCCCCCTCGCTGTCAGTGGGCTTTTGCTTGCAGCATAATTTGGTCACATGCAGGGATTTCATTATTATTGCATATCATCATTATTAATTATTATTAATGTTTTTTTTTAATATTTTTAATATTATATGTATATATTTTTGTTTTGGTGGAGCAATCTCTGCTATTTTGAGCTGGTGGTTAGAATTATTTATTGAGGAGCATGAGATGTGAGAATATGAGTGGGAGTAGTTTGCAGAAACATAGCTCAAAGAAATTATAGAGACAAAACATAGTGGACCATGCTAACGTGCGCAGTTATGCCAAGAAAGAAAGAAAGAGGGGTTGTTGAGGATTTTTCTTACTCATTTCCTCTTTAATCTCTTCTTTTTTCCCTGCTTTCTTGCCTTTCTGTCATTATCCATTTCGCTAAATTACGACTACCCTTGAGGCAATGTTAAATTACCATAAAACTTCTCATATTAGGGTACGGTCTAAAATTTAGTTGAATTTTCTAGATTATGTGGAACATTCTCCAGTTTGTACCTGTTTTACCCTATTCGAGTTCCATATTTTGAAACAAGATGATCATAAAATGTGTCTCTCCGCTTGTGAATATAAGATCGTGTTACATCCGAAACTGCATTTTTTCACAAAACGAGTACAAGTTAGAGAATATACCACGGAATCTAAAAGATTATGTTGAATTTGACACTATAAGGGTGGACATCTAAGAAGATTCATAGTTGAGAGGTGGTTGTAATTATGCAAACATGAGGTTTTTTTTCGTAATTTAACCTTACCTCAGAGGTGGCCATAATTTACCCTAAATAATTCGAATTGGTTGTTAAACGTGTCTTAAAATGTTACATTTATACGTTACTGATATGCACTTCAATTCATTTCACTCGGAATAGCATAAAAAAAAGAAAAACCAAGAAAAAATTGCGTCTTCGATCCAAGAATGAGAATTACTGTAAGTAAATGGAGATGATGTTGAGTAAATGATTTGTTGTTTGCAGTTTGGAAGAAATCTATTGCACAAGATATGTATTAATGGATACAATAATACTAGGTTAAACTCATTCTATATCGTAACTAACTAACACATGTAAATCTTGATTTGTCAGGTAGCTGCATCCATGAAAAAGAATGCGGATGCCCTAATCCCGAACTACCCGAATCTTCCACCGAAACTATTATGCCTCCTTCACAATGTCACTTTGCATGTATGCACTTGCCTTAACTAACTATAATCCCACATTTTACTTCTCCGATAAAAAAATTTAATCGTTTTTTTTTTGGGCATCTATTAGGCTGATCCAGAAACGGACGAAGTATATGCCCAGATGACACTACAACCAGTTCCTTCGGTAAGTTAGTTTCTGCCTTCGTCGAATAATAGTAACTACTTTATTATATTAAAAGAAAGAAGAAGAAAAAACTGATAATCTCTATATATTTAAATTGAAGTTTGATAAGGATGCTCTATTAAGATCAGACCTTTCGATGAAATCAAACAAACCACAGACGGAGTTCTTCTGTAAGACTTTGACTGCAAGTGATACAAGCACTCACGGGGGCTTCTCTGTGCCTCGTCGATCCGCAGAAAAGATTTTTCCTCCTCTGGTTTGTTTGTTTGTTTGTCTGAAGTCTCTGATTTTTTTTCCTGTTATATTTTCGTGTTTGATGAACAAACGGTTATTTCGATTCCAGGATTTCACAATGCAACCGCCTGCGCAAGAGCTGGTTGCAAGGGACTTGCATGATAGCATGTGGACATTCCGACATATTTTCCGAGGTAATTAATTATTAATCACTCTGCTTTGGTCCATTTAAAGTATTTATTTATTACGATGATTTATTAAAAAAATCCGATGGGTTTTATGTAGGACAACCTAAGCGTCACCTTCTTACAACTGGATGGAGCCTGTTTGTCAGTGGGAAGAGGCTGATTGCCGGTGACTCCGTCTTATTTATTAGGTAATGATTCAAGAAACCAACTCAAAAGAACCTTTTTTTTTTAAAAAATTCTTGAAATTCTGAAATGTTGAATTATTACAATAACTGTCAATAACTGACAGGGATGAAAAGCAACAGTTTCTTCTAGGGATAAGACGGGCCAACAGGCAACCGACAAATATGTCTTCGTCGGTTTTGTCGAGCGACAGCATGCACATAGGTATATTAGCTGCTGCGGCACATGCTGCTGCAAATAACAGCCCTTTCACAGTGTTCTACAATCCGAGGTAATCCTTAATCCACTCACAAATTCAATTTCTATTCGTGCTATTTATTTATTTGATGATGATCAAGTGGGATTTATTTGAATACGAGCACAGGGCTAGCCCGTCGGAATTCGTGATCCCGTTAGCCAAGTACTACAAGGCAGTTTGCAGCAACCAAATATCGCTCGGCATGCGCTTTCGCATGATGTTTGAAACCGAAGAATCAGGGACTAGAAGGTAATATTTGCTCTGCTCGTACTTTCTCCACTCTATTTTTTCCTTTAATAAATCACGAAAAATAAGATTTTTTTTTTTGTTGTACCTTGTGCAGATATATGGGTACAATAACTGGAATCAGTGATCTGGATTCAGTCAGCTGGAAAAACTCCCAATGGCGCAACTTACAGGTAAAATACCATTTCGACAAAATTAATGTGCTCCCATTTTATTTATTAACACTAAAAGAAAGAAAGAAAGAAAAAAAACTATGTTAGATATCCATCCACTTGGCATTCGCAGGTTGGTTGGGATGAGTCGACCGCTGGCGAAAAACGTAGCCGTGTGTCCATATGGGAGATAGAACCTGTAACCGCTCCGTTTTTCATCTGCCCTACGCCGCCTTTTTTCCGACCAAAGCGCACTAGGCAACCTGGAATGCTAGGTAATTAATTTTCGGGTTACCTTATTTCTTCTTCTTGATTTTTTATAGCTCACAAGTCGCAATGATTCAAGAATTGGAATTTTTTTTTGAATTAATAAAATAATGCTTTTTCGCCCTGCAGATGACGATTCTTCGGATATGGACAATTTATTCAGCAGAAGAATGCCATGGCTAGGCGACGAATACGGTTTAAAAGATTCACAATCTCAACAGGGCCTCAGCTTAGTACAGTGGATGAGCATGCAGCAAAACCCCTCCCTCGCTAACTCCATGCAACAACCGAATTACATCAACGGTTCAGAAAATTCACGGCCGTTGGGCCCACCCGCAACCCAAATCCCCCATCAGTACAGCCCACAGTTCAACCCACAGAGGCCCAACCAACCGCCACAACAGCAGTTGACCGATATTGACCAACCGCAAAGACAGAATTTCGTCGCTGCTCAAAATTTGCCCAGTAACCAAGTTCAGTCCCAGGTTATGCAGCAGCAGCAATCTTTTCTGAACAATCATCAGCTACAGAGAAATAGTAATCCCCCTCAAAATCTGCCTCAGCAACAGCAGAATCTAATCCCAGCCGTCGATCAAACAAGCCAACAATTGCATATTTCAGACAACCAAATCCAGCTCCAACTTCTTCAGAAACTCCATCAGCAACAGCAGTCTCTGTTAGGACAGCAAACTTCGCAGCCGACACAGCTCCAAGATATTCCGTCAAACTTCTCCATGTCCATGAAAAGAAGCCAAATGATCGATCCTTCTCAAGAAACGTCCAACATGCATCATCCTAGTCAGCAGATGCCAAGAAACCCTAGTCAGAACAATCTTCAGTTTGCCCATCAATTCGGAACACAGTCGGAACTGTCCGGCCATGTCGGGACAACTTTAAACCAAACAAACAATATGTTGATGAACGGAGCCATTGGTAATAATAAGGGCCAGTCTGCAGTTACAGACGATGTTCCGTCTTGTTCGACTTCACCATCCACGAACAACTGTCCTAATGCAGTTCAGCCGTTAAAGAACGTTAGAAATAACCGAGTTGCAACAACAATGGGGGATGAGATTATTACCCACCCTTCTTTCACTCTTTTAGATTCAACGACTGGCCTGGATCCCATGTCTTCTGGCGGTAACCTAGTTAAAGACTTGCATCAGAAACCTGGTAATAAGCCCCCGTTGAATACTACTACTACTAATAATAATAATAGTACATCAAGAAGTCAGAACCAAGGATTTTTCGCAGCATCTCAAACTTACCACCTTAATTCCGGTGGGACCCACATAGACTATTTGGACAGCTCATCTTCCGCAACATCGGTTCTTTCGCAGAACGATGTACGGATGCCGCAGAATAACTCAATGTCGTTCAATTCTACTCAGTCGATGTTGTTTAGTGATCAAAGGAACAACGACTCGTTTGGGGCTACTAACATGGACAATCAGTTGGGGATTCCCATGATGTCTGAGCCGTTGATTACGAGGAACATGGTGGGACCAGATAAGGACTTTTCGACCTACGAGAATATTCCCACGGACGTTCAAAATGAACCCTCTTCATCGATGGTCTCGCAGTCATTTGGAGTCCCGGATATCACTTTCAATTCCATTGATGATTCCAACTTAAACGACGGCAACTTTATGAATGGAGGAGGTGGTGCTTGGGTCCCACCGACGCAAATTCCTAGGTTGCGGACTTATACAAAGGTTGGATTTGTATTTTATTTTATTTTTTTCATTGTGAATTGTGATAAATGCTGACTAGGCAAGTATGTATGTTCTTGAAGGTGTACAAGCGTGGAGCTGTTGGAAGATCGATAGATATTAGCCGTTACTCGTGCTATGATGAGCTGAAACAAGATCTGGCCCGTCGATTCGGTATAGAGGGACAGCTGGAGGACCGTCAGAGAGTTGGTTGGAAACTCGTCTATGTGGATCACGAGAATGATGTCTTGCTAGTTGGAGATGATCCTTGGGAGTACGTTTTTCTTTTTTTTTTTTCTTTTTTTTTTTCTTTTTGAAGAAAAGTCGGTTGCATAATCGTGTATATTATTATTATGTTGAATTCAGGGAATTTGTGAGCTGCGTGCGTTGCATCAAGATCCTTTCTCCACAGGAGGTCCAGCAAATGAGCTTGGATGGAGATTTTGGAAACAGTGTTCTTCCCAATCAAGCTTGTAGCAGTTCGGATAATGGTCTGATTTAGAAGGACAAAATTGTCATTTCCATTTACCACGTACAAAATTTAGCCCTCGATACGTTGAATGAAAAACGAGCAGCCTTGTAGGGATAAATATATTCAGAAAATGAATCCCTAGCAGACAGGGCTATCGTTGAACTTTGGACAACAGAGATAGTAGCGTGTTAGAAGTAGACAGGAGAGCGAAAGCATCTCTATGCCACGTCTATTTTTTTGAAGCAATATAGGATGAGTTGATAAGCCGGATAAATACGTTTTAGTTATCACGGTTATTTCTTCTTTGTTTCATTTGTAAAAACTTGATCCCTACCAAATTGTATTGTAGAAAGTAACAGCTTGAAATCTGTATGCATTGTGTAATTTCCAATCGTATATACAATTGATGATATTTCAGACAGGCTTCACATAAAAAAAATTGACTCCTCGAATTTACTAAAGGGTACGATAATTAAGGGAGATCATGTAATATGTTTAAGAAGGGAGATGATAAGTATCCAGAAATTGGATGCAGAGTAATGTATAATGTAATCAACCCCAGAAAAAAAATGTCAAATTTCTGAATCTTGAAAAAAAAATAAAACAATTCCGAGAATGAGTTTTCGATAAATAATTTTCTGGGGTAGTAGCTCAAGTACAAATTCAACTTGCAACAACAGAGTTCAGTTTGCATATGAAAACAGAGAAAATTAATTTAATTCCACCAGACAGAATTTAAGTGATCATAGGTTCAGGACTGGCAGCAGCTACGATGTCCAAGAGTGAATTCTGGGCTTCGATTTCTTCATGCCATAGCGGAAGTGTGTCACCTGGGTAGAACTTTCTACTAACCCCATCTTTGTTAATCTGCAAACAGAACGAGATTCTCGAACATCAGAATTGGGATATAATCGAAAGGGATTTAATGTGATATTCATAAATAATTTGATTCCCAATTCAAGAGAGGTAGAATCACTACTAGTTCAAACAAGAAAGAATATTCCTATAAGAAAGCAACTCACAGTCACTGTGCGAACAACACCACCACTGGCACCGTCCCGAGCAATGGCAAGAGAGACTGCCTTCACAACTAGTTGCTGGACAAAAAAAGAGTGAAACATCACAAAAATTAGGAATATCTCTTTCAGACAAGATTCAAAATTCCATCACTTCAGAGAATACTGATACATAACAAACAAACCTCAGCTTCTTCTCGAGTCATCCCTTCCTTCCATACTTGATCAAAGAAACCATACAGATATGACGAGCCAGATCCTGAGATATAATAAAGATTTGTCAGTCGTTTATATTTTCATCTACTAGCGAGTTGAAAATGTTTCACCCAGTGACCATAATACAACTTTAGACTGAAGGATCTTGAAAAATAGCTCTAAATACTGAAACAGTTCGATTCAGATTTAAATTTACAACTACATATGCTCAAGGTTTTATCAAATATAATTCATGAGTTGAAGGCAAGACAGAAGAAAAACATATAGTAACAGTGACAAGATCTCACCTCCAATGGTGAAAGGCAGATCTAGAACTGTTCCACCCAGAGGTATTCCGTATATTTTACCCCCTTCATACTTGTCCCATCCGCCGACAATCAGGCCAGTTTGCAGCATATTCTGCAAAGTCGGTAGATTACAATAAACTCACAATGAGAAACTAATGAAGACATGTCAGAGAAAAGGACTAGTTAACAATCTCTGTGAAAGAAAAAAGTACTTATCAACAATCTTTGTACAACATATATGATGACATCTTTCCATACAGAGCTACCAACATCTTTTAAAAAACAGTAATTATAAAGAACGTTTTTGTTACTAGAGGCAGTTCTGAACTTGTACAGATTACAAAATCAAAACCTGGAGATGAGAAATTATTACAAACCTTGTTACCATAAGCTACTAATCTGACAAGATTTGCAGCAACTTTAACGGTTGAAGGCTGACCAAGTTGTATCCTGCACATTAAATAAGAGTTCACCTCAGGAAAGAAAGAAAAAACCCATCTATTAACTCTTAAAAGAGAAGTGTACTACTATCAGAAGATAAGCATATTTCTTCTCATGTGGATAATACACAGAAGACCATAACCTAAATATCCAGCCCCATTTTTCTGTACATCCATAAAATTTATATGCAAGAGATTCCTAAAACAATTAATAACTGCCAAATGAAGGCAGCAACAGAATAAAACGGGGTCTATTGACCATTTCCAACCCCTTAAAAAATCCGAAATGAGAAGTTTCTCCAGCATACAAGTGAATAAACGTACAATAACCGAGGAAAAAAAAATCTAGGACTTGGATAGATCACTGTACGAATGCCTGAAACAATAGAAAGGGCGATAAAATGCAGGATCATACTACTTTGTAGAATGTAGAGCGAACTCTTACGTGTGTTGATGGAGATAGAAGCGCACATAATCTGAAACAATCTGCGAGTCTGCTGCCTGATTAAAGAACATTGCAAATGCTACTCAGAAGAAGTTTACAAAAGAAAAAGAAAAGCCAATCCAGCAATTAAAAGTATTACATATCTTTAATTTCATGGCCAAAATGCACCCCAAAATCATTTCAGTTAGAACAGCAAGAATCAATCTGAAAAACAAACCCCTATGTTGCAAAAAGCACGTGGTTAATCTAATTATAATGCAAATACCCACCCTCACCCCCTAAAATTCATCCGGGAATAAATTCAACAAGCAGAAATATGTTGACAATAAAGTTGCCCCATCTGGCTTCAGTCTCACATATATTTATATACAACTTTTAAGAACAAAAATATCTCAAGTGAATCGAAATTCGCCATTTACTACCATAAGATATTTTTTCTCATAGTTCAACTTCTTTTTGTGTCAAGCTCTTCCTTTCATCACAAGTTTTAATCAAATAGCTGAAACTCAATTCAGAATATTTTCCTTACATCAATTTCAACTTCTAAACACAACTACTTTTATGCACAATAACCCTAAAAAATTTAAAGAGACAAAAAAACAATCAAACGAATACCAAGGAACATTGCCATAAAAAATACAAATAGAAAGCTCAATGAGGTAAACAATTACCGAGCCAGAACGACAGACGTAGACATTGTCGGTCAACTGAGTGATCTTGTCGGATGCCCTATTCGCAACATACATCCCTAAAAAAATATATTTACTTCAAACTTCGCAATAAGCAACAAACCCTAGCATTGAACGAGGACAAAATTAACATTGAAATTCGAAAGGAAAAATCTCCCGGGAGAGGTTACCGGTGCTTGTACGAGAGTCTGCACCGAGAACAACACCGCCGTCGTAGGTGACGCCGATGATGGTGGTACCCATCGAGTGTGGAGCATCCAGATCGCCTGAACTCACGTCCATGGTGTGCTTATGGTGGAGATGGATCGATTGAGCTTGAGCTGGAAAATTGAACAGTGGGCAATCGCTAAATATGAGTAAATACTGAATATATCGGAACGAGAAAAAGGAGAGTTTCTTGTGGGGGAAGAAGCACTGATGTATTAGTTCGTTAAATACCAATTTGATCCCCCAACTCTCTTTAACTATAAAATGAGCCCATCATCAAAAATAAGGGTAAAGCACAACCAAATATCAAATTACGAAAGAACCCTTTCTGTTTGGGTAATTACAACCAGTCCCATCAACTATGAATCTTCTTACACGTCCATCCTTATAGTGTCAAATTCAACATAATTTTCTAAATTCCGTTGAATGTTCTCTAGTTTGTACTCATTTTGTGCGTTATTTCACTTGTAAACGCGCATCTACTACAATTTCATCGTTTTGAGGGTATTTCACCTTAGCTGAACGTGACCAATCGGGTTGCGCCACGTGTCCATTCAGTTAGCTTCTAATTGTAGACTTGTAGTCTCTAATTCATTATTGAATAGAACCTTTGTCACCAACTAGACAATTACTCTTGTAAACGTAATTTTACATATCTTGAAATTAAAATAAGTAAATAAAAATGTATTTAATTAATTTGTACAATAAAAAAAAAACACACACATATATATGTTACACGTTACACATTGGTGAATCTTCTGCCTGTAATTAATTCCTTAATAAAATAGCAGTTGTTTACCAAAACCATTTTCTGATCATCCAATCAAGAATGAAAAAAAAGAGGCTTAATCACAAATAATTATTACAGGAGTAAATCAAAAAAAGAAAAACAAAAAGAAAAAAAAAAAAGACAAATCCTATGATGAATGCTAATTAATTAAAAAACTAGCTAATATAATTAACTGTACTATTAAATATTAATCATTTTGAAATCATCAGATAATCCTCTGGAAGAACGCATGTCGGTTTCGCTGGTGTACGAGGAATAGAAGTCGTCGTCGGCATCCTTGTCGTTGACCTCCTCAATCATCTCCACCGCTGTTTTAATGTCCGGCCGCCGGTCCACGTCAGCATGGCAGCAACTCAACCCTACTTTCAACAGCTTCATCATCTCCCCCTTGCAGTAATGGCTCGTCCCCGCCGCCATGTCACCGTCGAACACCTCCAGTCCACCGCCGCCGCCGTTCATCACCGACTCCACCCACGTCGCCAAGTCGACATCCCCGCCGCCGCCGCCGCCCTGCTGCAGCAGCAAGTCCGACGGAAACCTCCCCGTGAGGATTTCGAGGATGAGTATCCCGAGGCTCCAGACGTCGGTCTTCTTGGATATCCGGCGGCTGGCCTTGTACTCCGGCGACTTGTATGAGATCATCTGGTCCTGAGCGTGCTCCTGGTTGACGACGGGGACCAGGCCGTAGTCGGCGAGGAGAGGTCTGAAAGAGCCGTCGAGAAGAACGTTGGATGATTTCAGGTGGCCGTGCGGCGCCGTCAAGCTCGGCAGCTCGTTGTAGAGGTACTGTAGCCCTTTGGCAACTCCTTTCACAATGTTCAGACGTGTTGCCCAATCCATACAGGGATGCCCCACAGATCGATTGCCTGAGTACACAAGAAATTATGTTACAGAAGAAAAATCGCATTTTGCTTATTCCCGCTTTTGTCTATTATAAGTGAATAGCGCTTTTATCTGTATTTTTATATAATATAATATAGGGTTAATTACGAAAACTCCCTTGAACTTAAGCTAAATAGCAAAAAATTACCCCCATCTATTCGTAATTACCAAAAACCCCACGAGGTTTGTTTTCGTCTTACACCAACTCCCTTACAGTGTGACTTTTCACGGATTTTTTTGATTTCAGAGAATAGACTTTATACAATTTCAAATATTTACGGGTATTATGGGGTGTTTTTCGTTATTTAGCCAAAGTTTAGGGGGTTTTTTGTAATTTTTCCTATAATATGATAGGTAAATATAATATATATATATATACCATGAAGCTGAAAAGCGAGGCTGAAATTCTCGGCGTAATCGGCGACGAGGAGTTTCTCCTCTTTCCGGTAATAGAAAGCGACGATGGGAAGAACATTGGGGTGGCTCAGCCGGCCGAGCCGCCTCATATGCTCGTTGAACTCTTCCTTTCCGACGTTGTTCATGTGCCTGAATCTCTTCACCACCATCACGTTCCCGTCGTTCAGCGCCGCCTTGTAAGTCGACCCGAAAGCCCCACTTCCCAGAATCTCCGCCGACGCCTTCAGCAAGTCCGCCATGTCGAATTTCTCGCCGCCTTCTCTCAGGAATGTCAGCCTCACCCCCTGCTTCCCGTTCTGATCCGGTGACGACGACGACCCGCCGCCGCCGCCGCCCCCCCTCTCCATTCTGTCTAACTCCGCCGCCATGGTGTCTTTGTTACGCTGCTGGCCTCCTTGGGAGGCTCCCCCTGGTTGGTCGGTCGGTGGATTTTTCTTGCGCCGGAGGAGGATGCAGACTACTGCCAAAAGCGCAGCCAATGCTGCCGCCACTAGCACCGCCACGATTACTATTGTTGCCACCGAGAGGTGTTCTCTGGCCGCACATGGACTCAGCGGCGCCCCACATAGATCTGAGTTGCCTGCCACATAAAAAAATAAAAATAATACGATTAATTAAATACAACAATGGTGAATGAATGAATTAATTAATTAATTAAATGCTAAAGAAAATAAACTCACCAGAGAATGAAGAAGCATTAAAATGGCTAAGGGTAAAAGGAATCTCCCCCACCAAATCATTGTTCGACACGCTGAATCGCTTCAATCCATTCTGTCGAAAACGTGGTATCTCGCCGTGAAATTGGTTGTCTTCGAGCATCAACTCCATGAGCTTAGGCAACGTGGCCAAAGTCGAAGGTATCGAACCCGTAAACGAATTGTTAGCCAGATGAAGTTTCTTCAAAGACTTCATCCCGTAAAAGGCGGTGGGTGAAATATCCCCATAAAACTTGTTGTTCGACAAATACACCGTTTTCAGCACACCCATTCTCGTAAAATTCGGTAAATACCCCTCGAAATCGTTGTTCATAAAACTTATACTCCTCAAATCCTTCAATTGCATAAGTGTCTCCACATCGATGACTCCACCCAATCCCGCATGCTCGAGCTTGATCGCCCAAATCCGGTCTTTCTCGCATAGAATCCCGTGCCAGCTGGCATTGCAGGGCGACGTGGCGTTGTCCCAGTTCGACAACACAGCCGTGTTCTCGAGAGATTCCTTGAATTTGAGGAGAATCTCGGCATCTGATTCGCCAGATACCATCGCGAGAGAATAGAAGAATATGATCGTAAAAAACGAGAGAATATTATAGTAATGTATTTGTTTTGGAGCCATGATGATGATTAGTGGCTGTGGTGGTGGTGGTGGTGGTGGAGGTGGTGCGCGCACGTGGTGGTGCGCGCCCGGCCGAGGGACACGGAGAAATGAAGGTAAAAAAGATGGCCTCTTTGATGAGAGAATGAAAGAGGGAGATGAAATGGAAGATTGTGAACATAGGAGGGTTTGGAGAGGAGGAACAAAAGGGAAAGTGCCAATAATAGTGAATTGTTTTGTTGGTGTTGGGGTTTTGAGATTCATAGTATTGACAAATGGTGACAAGTTTAAGGATGTTGGATAAGGTCCACTATTTTTTTTTATTGCATGGGGTGTTGAACACGTTTTCTGCATGAGAAGTATGCGCTATGCCTTTTAATTTATAAGTTGGCTGCCTTGGAATAACAATATTAATAAACATAGGCAATGTCAATCCAAAACATAAACTCTTGAATAGATAACTATATATGTGTATATCTATACTTTAAAAAAAAACATAGCCATATTTGTACTAGATAAACGCACTGAACATACCGTGTGTGACAAGCTCGACGAGAGGCGTAAACGCACAAGGCAACATCTCGATCTGAAAAGTATTGACAAGATCAAACTTGAGTCGCTAGACACCACTCTCTTTCTACTGCATCAACTAGACCACCATGTTTACAATGACTATCTCTGTTTGTATTGTGTTTTGGGTTCCAAATTAATCGTAATCAATTTTTTTTCGGAAAAATTATGTGAATTTTCCATGCTATTTTTATTCATTTTTTCGTCATTACGATGAATTTCAAATATGCTTAATACCAGTTTGAAGCAAAGGTGTTATAATCCCATTTATTTGTATCGAAATCGAGCTTAAACCCTCCCACATAGTGAATCATTGTCTTCCTTCAACGGTATATATGGACAGTTTCAAATGCCATTAGGTGTTCGACAAATTTGTGGCACTGAGTATAATGGTTCTTATATATAAAAATAAATAATAGTGAAAATCTGTAAGAATGCAATAATTCAAATGGCTATACCAATTTATTTACTTATTTTCCCAAGAAGACAACTTGAAATTTTAAGCAGGACGAATTTTAATCATTTTTCTGTCTGGATAAGCAGCGAAACCCACTCATGTTGGTAAAATCATCAAATGGTTTATTATAGGTCATGTGGGCATATACTCACAAGAGATAAATCGAGCCTGGAGTGGAGATAGATGGAGAAAGTGAACCATACATATATATCAACGATTTCCACTTGCCGTGGTTGGAAGTGTTCGAACAGCCGCTAGAGGATTCACTTGGTATGAGAATGCAAGCTGCCACAAGTCGAGCAGACCCTTTTTCATGGACACAGCTTTCTTAGCAAGAAACCTGCAAAACGAGAGAACAAATTAAAAGGAAGAAAAAAGCATGTCTTCTAGAAAAATTGTAATAGTTTAATTATGAGTATCGGAACTGGAGGGCGTGCTCATTTAAATCTATTATTCGCAAGAAAATAATAGTCGTACCTCTTCACCAAAGCTTGCTTTTTCCTCGTCAAATAATAAAGAAGCAACAGAAGAGAAGCCACCAGCATTTTCCCAGTTGGTATAACTAATTGAGTACTGCCTAACTTTAATTTGATTGCAGGAAACCACCAGAAGAATGGAACTCTTTGTCGAGAAAATTTCAGAATTTCTTCTTTTGATGTATATTTCTCAACATCTCTTAGATGCCCTTTATATGGTTTTTGATCTTGTAAGTAATCAGAATTGAATTCATCTGAAAGTTCAGGTGATGTAGATTTTTTCGACGAACTGGTGACAGTGGAATCCATCGATTGTAATCGCCTCAGAAGTTCCTGAGAAACCAAGTAGAAAAAATTATGAAAGGGAAAAAAAGTTTTCACTAACGTCTAATCCACTATGTAGTTTCAGAAACACCAAATGAATTAAGTAGAAATATTTTAATACGCAGAATCGTACCATATATCACATAGTATATTTGAATTGTTCAAAAATAAATAAAATAGGAAAATAAGTTGAATGTTTATTTAGAAAGAAATCAAGCATGCAAAATCTTACCTGCCGCTTCTCGATTGGCAACATGGCTTTCTCCACCCATATAATAGCAAGATTTGTGTTCTTAACAGTCCTAGCAAGAAGTGTTATGACATAGAGCTCAACAACTGCTAAATACTCGTCAACTCTGATAGAACACATTAACGAAGATCCTTCTGTGTTAGATACTATAGCTTCTGCCCCGGAGAGAGGATAATAACGGTCATCTACATATTTCCAGCTGTTCAGAAATTCCTCAAGAAAGCCTTGAACAGTAGAGGGGGGACTCTCCGACATTTCAAAGCACACCCTGAAGGCAAAATATAACAACAAACACAATCAGATTGTAGGGAATATATATATATATATCTCGGGATTTTACCCAAAACGATTTTAAAGTTTTGATCCCGACTCCAAACAGTTTTACCTGGCTTAGGATTTTAGTACAATTTGAATCCCGTTTTAACTAACTTTGCACATACCTCACTCTACGACCATATGTCACTAATCAATTGGAAAATGTAATATTGCCTAACAAAACGAGACTGTTCGGAGTCATCAAATGCACAACGTGCAAACTCTGCAAGTTCTTTAGGTTAACGAGACTTGGATTTAGACTTTATTGGCCTAACAAAAAATGGGAGTACTTCAATATACATCACACGAAAGCAATTCCACAATAAACTTACTGTAAACTATGCAATTAAGAAATAATTCAAGTTAAAAATAATCGAAATTGGGGAAATTTTGACATTCTACATCTGTAGCATCCCATTAAAACATGCAAGGAATTCTAAGAAACAATATATAAAGAACAAAGTGAGTTAACTTACCCAGAGAGGAAAACTTGAACAGGCATCGCAGAGAGTGAACCAAATAACAGTTTAAGCTCCTTCAGTATTTCTGACGTCCTTCAAATTACAGAAAAATAAAAAAAAATAAAAATAAATAAAAAAAAGAAGATAATTACGAAAACAACATATGCAAAAAAGGGGGGAAAAATCAGAAACAAACCTAATTTACCTTTGGGAATGTTTCATGGATTGTACAAGCACCATGCCCGCCGATTCCAGCATATCACCACGATCGTCCTCGAAACTCTCCGACGATTCGCTGAGCTTACAATTTGCGAGCAATCGTTTAAGAATAGATGAACCTAACGAGGCGGCTTCATCGAACATGCCACAAACGAGATAACTGCCAAACCGCATCCATAGATTTACATGTTAATTCATGAAATTTTCTACTAGAAGGAAGACTGAGAAAATGAAACACAGATAACACACGATATATTTTACCTTTCGGCGCGGTCAATTTCTTCCCAGATTCGCGTCTGTTCACCTGTAATCGCCATTTTCAATCACAGTCTCTCTCTCTCTCGCGTTGGGGAAAGAGACGAGGGATTGTTGAATTTTGTCCGCCAAGCAGTGAAGTTGATTTTTACTTTTTGAAGTATTGGGATAAAATAACTAATAGCGTTTGTTTTAAAAGATTTGGGCCATAATAAATATTAACAAAAGTTTTTGGGGCTTTTACGAAATCCAGTTTTAGTTTAGAGCCGCAGCCCAGCCCAGCCCACCGTCTTCACACTGTCAAGTGTCAACGTCGGCTCAAAATCTCGTTTCAATTTCTCTCTCCTCTCCTCTCTCTCTCTCTCTTCTCTCTCTCTTTCTATCTGAGCGCGATTAAACGTACCTACTCAGAACACGGGCAGGTAAATCCTTTCACTGTAATTCATTTAACTTAATCCCGTTTTGTAAATGTGCTTAACCTAGTACTCGAGGGTTTCTGTATATTTATTTCATGCTTTCAATCCTGGAAATGGAAATGCTTCTTTTTCGAATTTT